CACTTGCCTTGTAAAGTGCTTACACTAGCCAATATATGGGGTAAACATGGTAAATAACAAATAAGGTAAAACTGAACCATTTGCAAACTTGTCATGTCAGTGTTAGAAATTGGCACTAGTCCTGTAGTCCTTGCCAAACTGACCAATAGTTAAGGTATCATAAGGACTAGTAGAAATTTGCCCTTTTTAAGGGTTTTGCTATATGTTATCATTATAAGGACTAGTGGTTCAAACCTGTTAGTTTCTACCGCTGCTATGTATTTCCTGGTTCTATTATCAGGGTAAAACTTCCCCTAGGGATGATGTGAGGTTGTAACTTGTAAAACGAATGTAAGCATTTATCTATTCCAAAAGAACAAGTCTGATTAATTTTCAAAGAAAAGACTGTTTGAACATGTTGAGGGAAGGGATGAAATGGATCTGAGATGTAGTGTGCATACACATACTGACATGATATTGGTAGAGGTGTTAAGACAAAGTGGGTACAAGATACAATTTGTATTAGGGCTGGGACGGGTAACTCGGGTACTCGGGCCAGGTGGGTACTAAGGAGGACTCGGGTACCCACAGGACTACCCGGACCAGTGGTTAGTAATGTGATATATTGTTTTATGACAAAAAGTATCTAAAACTCTATGTTTAAACTACAAGTCACTAATGTTCACAGTTCTTCCTGACTACTACCCCCATTCCTTCTAAATTTTATATGTTTGAATAAAAATACTTCAGTCAACTTCAGTGTATACACCAGATCGTTTCATACATGTATCTAAACACATTTTACCAGAACTAAAGTGAAACGTTTCCCAATTGGACATTTTGTACCTACCTCTTGATAGCTACAGTGGGTACTGGGGTAGGGTCGGGTAATAGGGGGTTGGGTACCCGGGTAGTAAATTTGGACGCGTCCCAGCCCTAATTTGTATCATAAACAGTAACTGTTGACATATAGTAACCTTATTGTATGTCATAATCTTTGTTATAGAACAATCAAGTTTTTTACTTCAGCATTTTCAAGGTTTCAGATTGTTTAGTTTTCCAGGAAATTGACCTGTTGTCATTCAAAATATCCAGTAGATATTTTTCAGTTTTGGTATAGAGGAATGCCCTATCAAAATTTGCTAAAATCATAGAAATGTCCCAATGGCATTTGTGTCAAGCAAAATCACTGCGTGCTGCTCATATTCCAGAAGATTCTTCTCCTTTTGTATCGTTTGTATAGAGGCTAAAGTGGTAAACTATTTGTAGTGTGATAGCTTTACTGTGAAGTGTGTATCGACGATGGTTCAGTCATTTTCTCACACATACACTGAAGACCCGAGTCCAGTTCGTAGCATGGGTTTTGTGTAGCGCGTCCTGGGTGATATTGCTGGGATCCTGCCTGGTCAGACTGTGGAAGTAGCATAAACCTGAACCTACTCATTCACTCATGCTGGGAATATTCTGGAGTTAGTTACTTAGTTTGATGGTAATCATAACATACTGGCTTTGACAATTTCATTTATAATATTCTCTGTCTTAATGTTAACCACTTGACTAAAACCCAGGTCAAGTCAAATTTATTTCAGTGTTCTGGTATAAGTCAAGGAGTTAATTGAAAACAATATGTATATTCAGACACATTGACACCAAGTTGATTGACACAGATTGTATCTCCTGATCTCCAGAAGTAGATTATTTAAATTACAGTTACAATTTACAACAAATACCAAACTGTCTGTTCCAGAGAATAATTCAGCCGAAACTATTGGATCTTGCATTTCGGTTGGATTATTTAGAAGTTTCTTGGGGTCAGCTGTTGAAATTATATACCTAAGTGTTGTTTTGTATTGTGTGTGCTTCATTACCAAGCTGGGATTGCGATCAGTACTGTACGCTTGACTGAACCTTTAGATGAGGAAGAAAAACCTATATAATATTGGGCTACCTGCAATGTCTCTATATTAGGAGGGTTAGGAGACTTTGCTTGTTTTGCTTTGTCTGTGGTAGGAGATTAAGTCAAGGTTGTGTGGCTTTTGGCAGGTGGCCATTCGTCATATTGAGCCAACTTCTGTGAGGGAGCAGGCTTAGTGATGTGTTACAGAGCCAGTTAGTGTGTTTCAGCTACCCACCAGCTCAGCTAATCCGCAACGCATGTAGGATTAGCATTTCAAGAGAAATTGATTGCTCGCACTTGATGGATACAGCTTTCGAATCATATGTCCTTAAGCTAATTATTGAACACTTTATTTTTTATCCAATATCAGCAGTAGAAACTAATAGTTTCAGTCCACTAGTCCTTATAATGATAACATATAGCAAAACCTTTAAAAATGGCAAATTTCTACTAGTCCTTAGGATACCTTTACTATTGGGCAGTTTGGCAAGGACTATAGGACTAGTGCCAATTTCTAACCCTGAATATTGCTATTCTTTTCATCAGCAATATTACATGAAGTTCTTTTTTCATGATAGTCTCCATCTATCACATGGGTGTTCAAAATTAAAGTCATATGGCCTTTTTTCATAACTCTGAAGTTAAAAAAATTCATTAATGATGGTGCCAGGTTAAATACAGCAGAGGAAAATTTCAAGGTCCCCTTGCTCCCAGTCATTTTAACACTGTACTTCAAATGCTTATTGTAAGACCTCCTGTTCAGTACAAATATAGTTTGAACACTAGTAAGTACAACACACTGTGTGGTTAGATCAAGTTTATGCATATTCTAAAGTATGTTCTTGTATATGCATATAAATGTTCTATAAATATTCTGAAGCTAACTATATTATGTTTTGTGAAATAAATATGGACAGATTCAGTTATCAAGTTCAGTGTATCTGATACTTTTTAATTTATCAAATAATTAAGAATTGACTCTCACTTAGGAGTATGAACCATCATAGGGTAAGGGCCAAAGTGTATGAAGGTTGTAGCTTGCAAGATGCTAGTGATCAACAAGTTAGTAGGACATGGTTATATGGCTGCCAATTACATCTACAGAGATTAATTAAATCAACATACAAATGAGGGTGACCAAGTGACGTTAGGGATGAAGCCTGACAAGTGATGATGGGGGGGGGTGTCTACATGATCAGAGGACAAGGCAACAACAAGGTGGTTGATGCCAATGACAGTGTATTGGATACATGTAGTTATTATTTAGTGTGGATTTTTACAAACATGCTTATCATCTGCTTATTATGAACATGATGAATGATACTGATAATAACTTTGTTATTCGCAAAGCAGTGTTCAAAATTTAGGAGGGTGAAAGATTTTATCTTGTAATGTTTGAATCTAGAGATCCTCTTAATCTATAACTGTTAACATTTACTTAGGGTTGAGGCAAGGACCCCTTCACCTAATCATGCTGATGGTCAATTTTGAACACTGCTAGGTTTTCTAGTTTTATGACATGATGAATACAAGCAATGTGTCTGGCAAAGTGGTGCGACCTGATCCCATACTTCATGGACTCACTGGATCAGCTGACCTTCTGCTGATAATATCCTTCAAGTTCAAAATGATTGGCAGGTCAACTTGACTCCCTCCATGATGATAAATGCTTCAGACACATTCTTGGTGTAAACAATGACTATATTTGTCATGCTTTAATCAACAAGTAATCAAGTAATTTGTCCAATGGGACGAAATATGCAAGTTGTGATGGAGAGAGAGAGAGAGAGAGAGAGAGAGAGAGAGAGAGATTTGACAATCACATTAGGAGAGGAGACAGATTGGGTACATCCCCACTAACAACATGATTGACAGTTAATGTAACCAGTGCTTTTCAATCAACCTTGCTTCTCTGTAATTCCAATATATAGTAGTAATGCTTCATCATGCTTGACCTAACCATCACCTAGACAGTGAATAGTTCAACCTCCTGCTGTATGTTAGAATGACATGTTTTACCTGAACGACACAGGAGCTAGTTTCTGAGAGTCCTACACAAACATACAATCTGGCTCTGGTTCAGCCACTCTGCTGAATCAACATGCCTTCTGTGGACCCAGATGATTCCCTGTGAAGGATGACAATAGGAAGTGGTGTACATGGAGCATGAAATAGCCAGGTGCCAGAATAAGTTCGTCAGCATGATTCTCAGCAGTGTCAGTCATTACATTGATTATTCTCATACAACATGTCTATTACTGCCTGTGTAGCAGGGTCCATAACACTCATATTTGGCTCATAGGGAGGTGATCAACCAGTAGTCATACCACTTACTACAATGCCGCCCAGCTATTATACTTGTGAGGTGTCAATTTGAGGCTCCAATCTAAACATCGGTCAAACGAAATATATACTGACCGCCAAAAGAAACGTGAACCATAGACACACATAGAGAAGTGTGTACGTTAAGAAGAGATGTGTTTCCAATGTGTACCAATTAATGACAATACTAACAATCAGCCAAGTGTTACCACAGAGTGACTTTATTCTTATCACGATATGCTGCATGTGATTTCCAAACTTTACACGCTAATCATGCACAAGGACAATCTCATGGATCTATGATGTCACACAAGCATCGGTTCACCATACATGAGATACATGTTGGTTAATATATGAAGACTTACTTTACTTACTCATATCAACCAACATGTAGGGTATTTGCGTTTCTTTTGGTGGTGAGTATATTGTGAGGCCAGTCACATTTTTGTTTTCTTGTTGACAGATTTTCTTGGTCCATATGCCAAAATTTGACAAGGCAAATACACTAATTATATGTTCAGGGTTGATTATAGGTTAATTTCCTCAAACCTACTCTTTGCATGCAAGCCATAATATAAATACAAAAAAGACATGAACATACATGTAATCAATCAAACCTGTTGTGCCTGTATAACAACTTAGAGCAGCTTCATCAGTACAAGAAGATATCAACTGATCAGGACTTGGTGGAGAAATACACGTTTATGGTTTGTGGTTTGTTTCAGCAGGGAACATACTGATCATGTATGTCATTGCCTTCATGAACATGACCAGTTTCTGATGTAATGTTCTCATCTTGCAGATACACAGATATAGAAACGACGCCACGGAGAAGGCCGCCCGTCAACTACTTAGATGTAAGTACACAACACTCTCACATGCCTGGAACATTTTACTGAAGTATCGGTGTGTGGTGGTGTGATCCTTGTTTCATTCCAGTGGTCATGTATTCATACAGAATTATATGTGTGGGCTGCAGTTCACTGTAAAGAGTTGCTTCCCTTAGGCGTTCCAGAATCCTATGATTGTGGGTTTGAATCCCAGGTTCACCCTGATAATGTTACTAGGTTTGTGAGCACCTTACCCATGCTCGTGGGTTTTACCAAAGTTGTTAGACTTTTACACGTCTTGAGACCTGCATCACATCTGGCCTTCCTCCCGCATAAAGCCTACGGGCTGTGACATAACTGAAATATTCTTCAAATGCAAGGGCAGATGCAGCATTTTTAAAAGGCAGGGATAAAATATTATCAAAATCCTCTCTCAGATAATTTTACTGCCTACAACATACTACATCTGGTTTTCAAAAGGGGGGTCCCGGATCCCCTGAACCCCCCTCTGGATCCGCCTATGAAATGTCAAAACCCAATTCACTGACACTTAAAACCACTGAACTCTAGGTTATAGCATGTTCTGGGGGCAGAAGGTCTAACTAAAGACAGCTAGACCTGATTTGTGTACAGTGTGCAGTCTTCCCCCCCCCCCCCCCCCCCCACACACCCGCGGTCCCCATCTTGATGCCACAGGAACGACTTTCAACAACACTCATTCCTCAGTCACTCTCAACTATGTACACACATAGATACGTTTGGAGAGCTGTCATATTAGGCTTAATGTTGTGATGAGGATAAGGAAATGGAACTCTAAGCTGTTCAGGATTCCAGGTTCATCCTCAACTAAGTGTTGATAAACTTCAGGGATGAAAGTCAGGGGCCCTTTTCAGAATCCTGTTATGATAACATGGCTTGGTATGCATCCTTAGATTATATCTGTTGCTTACTGAAAACATCAAAGACCGAATAACCTCCTTGTATATTTGATTTGCTTCGCTATCAATTTAGTTTCTATTTTTCATGAGACTATTGAAATCCATATTTTTTCACAGAGAGTGCTTGTTTGTTATAGAAGTGTGCCATACAGTTTCTTACAGAAAGGAATAACATTTCATAAACTGCATACACTTGACAATGTTTTTATTTATTTATTCATAAGAGAAATTCTTTGCTTATAGTGCTGTCAAGAATCACCTGTTGTGCGTCATTTTGTGTAATATCAACTTTTAATCATGATTAATAATATGTCATTAGGTGTTTAACAGGAATATACCATGAAATAGCTACTTTGTAATTATTTTATACGAAGTCTGAGTTGGGAAGACAAAGTTATATGAAGTTCATGTGTTGAATAGTGTGTATATTACATTATACATATATATATTACTGAATGTTGGTTATTTCTACCTCATGAACATGATGAAAAGGTTGTTGGTTTTAAACAATATTTTTATATTTGACCCCCCATAGTTTAATGTAGTTCAAACATGCCAATATCACAAACCTCAACAAGTCATACAAAAGCTCTTTGAGGTGCCAGTGTGGTAATTGAAAGGTACGGTAACAGTATAGAAAGTCAGGTGTATTCGTTCTACTGTGCTGCTAGCAGTGACACAGACTCCACACCCTTAACACGTCTATAGACAAGCCGACTTCTACAGACTATATTTATCTCACTTTAAAAGCAGTCATGAAAAAATCTTTTCAGTAGTGTTCAGTGTTATATATGGACTATTATTAGTTGATCTAACTAGACCTGTAGCCATGTTCGACTGAAGTAAATGTGAACTGAGTCAGCCTTAACACTTTATTGGCCAAAGGTGCTGACTTTTTTTCCCCTTGCATTGCAAATCCCAAGATGGCCGTTCCCTGCTTGCTCCCCTCCCAGCATTCATTCTTTCCCGTGGAGCTTCGATTTGCTTTGCTATCAATATCTAAGCGTCTTTGTTCCGATTGCTCAGTCACAGAATCATGGATTGAAAATCAATCAAGGTTATTGAACAGTCATGTAGCCATAACACAGGTATTGTCTCCGTGCTGGCACCAGTTTGTTACACTTTGCGTGTAATTTGGTTTTTTAAAAGCAGCCCCAGCAGGCACACTCGTTAATCATGGCATGATTATTGACGTGCTGGGTTGGATGACTTCATGATGATACTTTGTGTTTTTTTCTTTATGTCTGTTATATACTGTGATCAGAAAAAGGTACTGTGAATATTCCAGGGAATGTTTTGTGTTTACAGTTGGTTAGTCAGGACCCTGTGAATCCGGAGAATCCACCCTTTCAGAAAACCTTGTTTGGGGCGTATTTATGCTTGCAAAGAAATGTCATTCCTTACCATGATTTGTTAGTCCTGAAATTTATTAATCACGACATTACAGGATGATTTGTACAATCTGGGTAAATAAAACCTCATTAAAATCCAATCTTAATGCTTACTACCGCTACACAAAGCTTTGGTGTAGTTGAAGCGAGCACTAAGATCTGGATGTTTTGTTTGTTTGTTGTTTAACGCCGCACTCAGCAATATTACAGCTATATGACAACGGTCTGTAAATAATCAAGTCTGGACCAGACAATCCAGTGACTAACATCATGAGCATCAATCCACATAAACATGCATCAACCAGGTCAGCGAGCCTGAACGATCCGTACAAGCATATCACCTTTTACGTAAGCATGGGTTGCTGAAGACCTATTCTGTCCCGGATCTTCACGGGTCAGATCTGAATTTAATAAGACTGAGATTAACAAGGTTTCACTGAAGATACACTGTACCTTTTTCCCTGTGTTTAGTGTTCTTGAACAGTTCCTTGCCTGGTGATGTTTGAAGCTACCAGCTGTAAAATATTCAGTTAACCATGATCATTTATTGCTTTATATTAATAATTCTGAGATGCAATGGGCATGTTAGGATTAACTATGGTGACAGTACTGTAGATCATTATCATTCCTTTTCAAAACTATGTGTCCCTTGCTCTCTTCCCCCTTGGCATGCTCAGGTGATAACATCATGTCTTTTCAGTTTAGCAATAGCAAGAGGTTTGGAATATATAGATTATTATGCTAGCATGAATATTATACGACACACATTGGAGAGTAATAATTTCTTTATTACCCATTATTTCTTAATCTATTTGAGCTCCTCTTTAGAAAAATGCAATGATCACGACCGCTGCCTTAGACAACCGTAATTGATATCAACAATCTTTAGCTATGACATCGTTTCTAGTGTGACATCATTCAGACTTTAAAGGAGATTTACAGTTAACTATTAATATGGGATAAAATCATTTATAGAGTATATTAAAACAAGTATCTTGAAGGAAAAAAATTCTAAAGGCAATATTTGTGACAAAAAACATTAAACCTAGTCATATTATAGAAACCACCTTTCCTCGATCCTCACTAAATCGGCCTTTTCGCTTGAAAGTTTCAAGAAATGAGACTTGGTACATGTACTTTTGTTTGGTGAACTAGTAGATCCCCATGCACAAATGATACCCAATTTTGCGTCTTCAATACGCCAAGAATGACGGAATATCACTTCATTGTCATGTAGATTAATGCACTGTAAATGAAACAAAACCTTTAACTATAGGGATAGCTCCATTAATCAAAAGGACTTTGTGATTGTTTATAATTATTGTGATTATGGATTGTTTGAGGTCTTCTTCAAAGCACCAGTGCCAACAATGCCACAATGATTATGTCTCTGCTAAGAGGTACATTAATTCTCTGTGTGTCCTTGAGAGTAGCATGACTGTAGATTTATACATGCGCTTCCTGCAGAAAATCTATACAGCCTCCTTTAATTGGGGCTAGTGTTTCAACATGGCTTCTTCCACCTAGCAACCATGACCCCCCACAAGTTCCTGTTTCTTAATTAATCTGTTTCAAGACTGTGAAGAGTTGTCATGTTTGTTGCCCAAGCTACAACCAGGTCATGAAAATCTTAAAACATGCCAACATTTTTTTGTGAAAGCTGTGCATGGTTTTGCTGATTTTCTTGACTTTATATCCGAAACTGCTTCACTTGAAGTATCATCATTTGTAAATACTGGAAACATGGATAATTTCCTACTTGTCAACTTTCACAACAATCATGCCAATTGTCTTCTTGAAACAATGGATAGTTTTTGCATCTTCAGTTTTTTATATTCAGTTAAGCAAGTTAAGCGGTGCATGACATTGTTGTAATATATAAAAAAACTGATACTTTAAAGGGTTAATAGAATACCGTATTCGATGTAATAAGCACCCTTCTCTAATAAGCGCCCACTGCAATATTTGCTAATATATTGGCAAGTGAACAATCCCACTTAGCACTCCTTCTGATTGATCAAGGTACACAAGACTTATTTATTCGTGTATATGCGCACTCGTGTGTTATATGTACCCTTATTTAAATTCTGGAAAAATATATAAACATGTCGTATATAAACAGTTCAGGCCATCAGCATAAACCACGAAATGTATCTTTCAACTTATTTATTTTAGCCCTCTATTTCTAATTTTGAGAGCGCCCTGGGCACTTATTACGTCAAATACGGTAAGCCAAAACACTCACAGGACTCTCTTGATCTTCTAACATTGATACTTGAGAAAATAGACTTAAAATATATTAACACCTTTAATCATGGTAATAACTAATAAACTATTCATTTCTTATAATATATTCAAAATGGAAATTAGGTGATTTTCCTTTTATTGTACAGCATAAGACTCAGATTTCTACAGAATTGATAAGTTAAATATTAAACGTCAGTGCCACAGAATAACCAGTCTCAATTGTTTGATTGACCTTTTTTAGAAGTTGACGGATGACAAAGTAGACACAATTTATGGATAACAATTTCTATATTTTACTGTAATGGCGACTTTTCAGTATAGATCCTTTTACCGTTGTCAAGCAAAGGTATAAGGATCTATACCGAAACGTCGCCATTACTGTAAATAAAGAAGTTGTTATCCATAAGTTGTGTCTGCTTTGTCCGTCTCAATTATCTGCTGAAATCCATTGGGCGAAGAAGGCAAAATAGCAGTGAAATTTAAATAAATGGGTCACTGAAAAAACCTATTCACCAATATTTTGAATAATATTTAAACTCATATTATGTGTTTTCAGTTTTACTGATGTATTTTATGTATACCAAATTGTCATGTTAGTGTTATTCCTACGTGTTAAACAAATAAACAAATACTCATTTACACTTTTGCAAACTGGAAAATACATTATGATAATGGAAACGTTGCCCTGCTGCATATACATAGATATAGACAAATGACAGACATTGGTAATTTCTGGTAGCGGTCTCCCTTCTATTTTGTGTGCAAACAGCTGTTAGCAGCATACAGTTTGCAGGGCCATCATCAAACAACAGGTGCCCTCAGTTTCCACGACAGCAGAACCACCTGCGTTTAGAATGTTTGATATAGAGAAAGAGAATGTTCATGTTGACTTGCCAAACACTATGTACAGTGCATTTTGATTTATGATTCTCTATTAGTATTACAAATGAGGTATTATTATGCAGTGATCAATAAAGGGTTCGACAATTAGTAGAAGATTCAGTGATTAGTAGAGGATTTGGTGATTAGAGGATTCAGTGATTAGAAGAGGATTCGGTGACTAGTAGAGGATTCAGTGATCAGTAGAGGATTCGATGATCAGTAGAGGATTCAGTGATTAGTAGAGGATTTGGTGATTAGTAGAGGATTCAATGATCAGTAGAGGATTCAGTGATTAGTAGAGGATTCAGTGATCAGTAGAAGATTCGATGATCAGTAGAGGATTCAGTGATCAGTAGAAGATTCAGTGATTAGTAGAGGATTCGATGACCAGTAGATGGATCAGTAGAGGATTTGGTGATTAGTAGAGGATTCAGTGATCAGTAGAGGATTCGGTGATCAGTAGAGGATTCAGTGATTAGTATAGCATTCAGTGATCAGTAGAGGATTCAGTGATTAGTAGGGGATTCGATGATCAGTAGAGGATTTGGTGATTAGTAGAGGATTCAGTGATTAGTGGAGGATTCAGTGATTAGTAGAGGACCAGTGCATATATATATGCTGTGTAGGGGAACAGTTGCCTCATGGTCTAAGATGTGCTGTGCAGAGTTGCATCCGTCAGCCATGCTAGGATCCAACAACTGTATGGGTACAATGTGTGAAGCCCATTTCTGGTGTCCCCCGCTGTGATATTGCTGTAATATTGCTAAAAGCGGCGTAAAACCATATTCACTCACTCACTCACTCCAACAACTGTAGTTTGAATCCCAGACTGCACCTGACTCAAAGCTGGTGCTCAAGTCCATGTTATTCTACCCATAAAAACCCTAGCTGAGGCGCAGCGATAACTGAAATACTGTTGAAAGCTGTGTTAATCCCAACTCACCTCCCACATGTCATACAAAGATGAAGCATGTCTGATGAATTGTATTTCACAAAGATAGCTGTCTCAAAGTTGACAGCAGACTTATCTCACTTTCTAAGTGAAAAACTGAGTAGCATAACTCCTGGATATATCTGATATACATCCAAATCATAATCCTTACTTAGCAGAGTGAATGTCCAGTGGAAGATTCCTCATAAATGTAAATGTGTACAGAGTAATGATTAAGAGTTTTACAATCATCACTTACTTGCTGATTTACTACTTGACTTCTGTTTGTGATTACAGATTCCAAAGAAAAACAGCAAGTTTCGGGATGTTTCGGGAAAGATCCACAAAACCCCCACACAAGCTGTCAATATCAAGTAAGTCAAGACGCTAGAGACACATGTTGTGTAATAACTACTCCTTGTAAACCTGATGCATCTCCATAGTATTTTCAATGTATTTCTTTTCTTAATCATGTAACATTCTGTATTTGTAACCATGTAAGTATGTGGATGATGACAAAGCCTCCAATACACTGGTTACAGGGGGAGAATGGTTATTCCCTAAAAAAATGGTTACCCCTCGTAACACATCCTTAGAGGAATACAATACTGAGTCATTCAGTATCAACATTATTTAAACCAACACACAATTTTATGGATAACAACTTCTTTAATACTGTAAAAAGTCCTGCTTGACAACGGTATAAGGATCTATACCGAAATGTCGCTTTTTACAGTATTAAAGAAGTTGTTATCCATAAAATTGTGTCTACCTTGTCACCCATCAACTTCTAAGCAATGCCTATCAAACAAGTTATCACATCAGCTTATGATAAAAAATAACTTCAAGGGTTTATAACTCCTTGACTGACTATACATACAAATTAAGTAAATATTAATAATCGACATGGATGTTCTAATGTAACAGGCTTGTCCAATTCAGTAGATTTGATGCACATTGTCACACAAACATATATACAAAGTAATTCCTGCCCCGTGGCACTGGGTACCCACAGAGTAAGGGAGGCCAGACAGGTCAAGTGTATCAAACATCTGCGTAACAAGAACACAACATGAATGTTGCTGTATCTACAGAGCAAAATAGCAACAGACATTACAAAACCATGAGACTCCAAAACAGTTTAGGCTGATACCACATTCAACCTTACTCTCACATTACAGGGGTGAGAATCTTCCACAGATCCAGGAATTTCTGGGAATTTAAGTGACCACAAATTTGTAAAAATCTTATGGCTTCAGGGGGGCCAAGTCCCCCGACCCCCTTAAACACCCCAAAATTATGGATCACACTCCATTGAAAAGAAGTTTTAGGTGAAAAGGAAAGTATCCATTCTCATCCCTGCATGTACACTATTCAATCTGTTACACATGAAATCATGAAATCATGAAAACATACTACTATTCACCCGTAGGGTATTTTACACAGTGTGAACACTGTGTTTTACATTTATCCTTCCATAAACACAAATAATATTGAAGTCAATTCTTAATGAATAAATACAAAATATGAAACAAACCTTTGAGGTATGACAGCTTAGATGGCACGGACACTCAAAAACTGCCTGTCTTGTGCACAGTGTTAATGTGAAGAGTAGAACTGGCCCGCATAATAATGTGCTAACCCTACCTAGCCACCCTTAATTAAATTAGAATGATATGAGACTGTATGGCTATGAATAGATTGAAGCCGTAAACCTTCTTTGTTCAGTACATGGGCATGATATTTGCCGTTCATATTTTTCCCCTGTTGTAAATAGTAGGGCTGCGACGATTACACTATGAGGGGAATACGATTCGTATCACAAATATAGGGTAACAAATACGAATATTAATTCATGAATACAATAACAAGTCAGCAGCTGAAGTATTATTTGTTATATTCAGTGAAACATTAACAACATAAATTATTTGACATGGTTTGTTTATTATTAATATATTATACATTTATATACTGCACTTATCCAGGTACTAGTTTCTGCTCAAATGTGACAATGACCAGTGACCACATTACTGTCAAATTAAATGTTATAAGAGTGTTGTCTTTCACGAAATAATATGCATATAATATGTTCTTATGGATATTTTTAGGTACAGGGTATGTAAGTGCACACACTTGCATATTTATAAATATTTGATTCTATTGGCCACAAATTCAATTCATGAATGGATACGGTTTGATTCACCGAATACGCGAGTGAATCGTAACAACCCTAGTAAATAGTTGTGTATTCTGATTCTGCTGTCCCATAGTAAGGGGGCCATAAAAGTGGAACTGGTTGCTTGAAAGTTCTTGGTTTTGGGAGGCCTAAGGTTTCCAACTCCTTGAAGTGTAATGTGCCTATTGTTCAGTATCAGGTTGCGATGACATCTATGCTTCTCTTGTGGTGTTGCAGCGTCAGAAATTGTCACTAGTCCTATAGTCCTTGCCAAACTGACCAATAGTTATGGTATCATTATAAGGACTAGTAGAAATTTGCCATTTTTAAGGGTTTCGCTATGTTCTCTTTATAAGGACAAGTGGACCAAAATTGTTAGTTTCTACCCCTGTGTTGGTGGTGGGACAACCAGAGCGGAGGTTGTGTCCAAACCCTCAGTCTCCCACGCTGAAATTCCTTTGAACACCCAAAGTATGGCGTATGATGGGGCAGTCTTCCCATAAACAGCATGCAGCTATTCTTGGGTGACTGTCCCTCTCTGGTAAATAAGAATTGTTATGATTGCTCTGTACACAGTTTTGTCTATTTCAATGCTGAGATGTTGGGTAGGATGCCTCAGTGTCAAAGTCAATTGTCAGCAAGTCACTGGACTGAAGCACACCAAATTGGGATAGGTGACTCAAAAAGAAAATGTTAATACCGCTACTAATATATGTCACTAATCATCAAAACATCAACACACATTTGCCAGGCTCTAAACAATACAATGTGATGTATCTGCCAGACAGCCACTCATTTACAATATACAGTCAAGTCCCGTCAATCGGACATGGTTGGTTGCAGATGATTATGTCGAATTAACGAGTATGTCGGATAAACGAAATTAAGTAGTATCAGCGTCTGTGATTGAAAATCGGACAACTACCTGATAGATAACGATACAAACATGAGTTTTACGAGTGTTGGATTAACGAGACTTGACTGTATGGTTGTACCTTTGAGAAACACATTTTACTCTGACAGTTCACTGTAAATGCATCTTCCTTCCACAGAGTATGGGCAAACAAGAAGGTATTTAACAGGCCCCGAGTTGTCACCATTGGACAGAAATCCCTAGGCGACATGGGCAAAGTCCTTGAATGTATCAATGACATGAAGTGCATCAAAGAAGAACTGGGCGGGTGTTGTGTTAGGTATGTAGCTTCGTGGAGTTGGTTGTCAGATTTGCCGGTTTTTAATGAACATGAAAGGCTGAAAATAAATGACACTGTTTGAATGCCTTTTTTCTCTTTCTTTGAAAGCAAAATATGATTAAATTGTAGAAGATGGTAACACTACATCATCTGTCTGCACAAACTATAATAAAAATATCAATGCAAGAGGATAAATTGATTTGGTGTTTTGTTTTGTTAATCTAATCTACTCAGTGACAATATTTTTGTGTTGTTCATGTCCCCACTGGGGGCAGTCGGGTAGCCTAGTGGTTAAAGCGTTCGCTTGTCACGCCGAAGACCCGGGTTCAATTCCCTACATGGGTACAATGTGTGAAGCCCATTTCTGGTGTCCCCGTGATATTGCTGGAATATTGCTAAAGCGGTGTAAAATCAGACTCGCACATACTCATGTTCCTATGGAACCAAGGTTAAAATAGGCCTGCAGCAACCAATTACTTGTATAAGAGGCAATGAATTGGATCAGGTGGTCAATCTCTCCATCTTGACTGACGGGTCCAGATTGCCAGTGATTCACAACTTATGGCAGTATTTTAAAACTATCAAAGTAATGCAGATGAACAGCTTGTAGTGCTAGACATGTGTATATGTGATAGACTGAATTGGATCTGGTGGTCAATCTGATTGCATGTAATTGTGCTCTGATAACATGGGTTTTTGCTCATGTTGTTACTCAGCGCCTAGTCCAAACTTAGTTCTTAACACTAATAGACCATGTGATAGCTGGAATATTGCTAACTGTGGCATTAAACAAAATTCACTCGCTCACTCTTGTTGATGACTCCTATGTGAATAGGCTGGTAGTGTGTGAGTGTCACAGCTGGTGTTCCTCTTCTTCCAGGTTGCACTCTAGAGGTGGGACACATATCAACGACCCCAAGCTCCTGCATCAAGATGAGGGCTATGTAGCAGTGCGGCAACATGATCGGTTTTGTATGGGCCACTACACTGACGCAACAGCGCGCAACTTTAGGACGTCCCCCAAAATAGAGAAGTAAGTGGGTGATGTCACAAGATGTCAGACCCGTGGGGATTCCGGGTTAGAATGGGTCACTAGCACTAGCTGGTTGTAAGAGGCGATGTAATGGATCGGGGGGGTCAGAGGTGGTGACTTGGTTGATGGTGTGTCTGTGTACCCTGACATCGTGGATAATCACTCGCAATATATATCATTGGATTGCCTCCAAAAATATCAGGGTATATAAGACTATCAGGGTATATTAGATAGCTACGCGATAAATCGCAAAGAACAATGAAGAACGAAGTATGGCTTATTTCATGATAAAACACTTCTGGAGATTTGAAAACATGCGCTCGCAACTTGATGACGTCGTAAATTGGACGACATTATTTTTGAGAGAGAAGTGTCTAGTGAGTTGTCCCCCATAGATGTAGGTTGAAAGCACAGATGAACACAATGGCCAAACAATCGCACCCAAAAAGTAGGAGAGATATGACAATCAGTATTTGGAGAAAAGGTACAGATAATCGACATGAAAATTGTGAGATTATGCTGGAAAGACCAAATTTAACCCCCCTGTAAATTGGATTTTTCCAAACTTGCTGCTGTCTGATTCTATTCAGGGAACCTCATTTCTTAAATAAATATTTTTAAAGCGTGTACTTTTTAATGCGCCCCTCATGGTTTATTCTCCCTGCAGTGTTTTATTGTACGATAAACAACAACCACAAATTAAGTCATCTATTTCTTAAAGAGCATTATGACCCGCTGCTATTTTTCCTGATGAAAGCTGTTTCAGCCTTGGATTGGTTGGTTGGTTTGATGGTTTGTTTGTTTGTTTTTTAAAGCCGCACTCAACAATATTCCAGCTATATGACAGCGGTCTGTAAATAATCGAGTCTGGACCAGACAATCCAGTGATTAATATCATGAGCATCGATCCAAGCAGCTGGGATCTATGACATGTATCAACCAATCCCAATCCCATTCAGCCTTGGAGTAATCCTACAGTAATGTTATGCTTTTCAGGAATATGATTTGTCTGTGTGTTTTAAACATGAGTTTTCCCCACAGATTGCCTCCCTTGAACATCAGCCGTGGCTCGAAGAACGGCAAACAGTGGTCACCTGACCACTCTCACTCCTCCTACCCCACCTCGGAGAACAGCTACAGTCATCGGTAATCTCACAACCTCATCTCCTCCATTGTCATGAATGTTACAGTGTACAGGGGCGTAGCAAAACGTTTCGAGTAAAGCATACATTGAACTGAAATATGTAAGACAGTATAGGTAAACTTCTACCAACTGACAAGCTTGTTTGATTAGCATCATTTCCAAGCTTGTGATTGGCTGCAGAAGCTGATTGGTTGTTATGCTGTCAATATATGTATTGGGACACACCAGAAAACCAGAAAAAAGGAAATGACAGATGATCTACTAATTATAAATATTTTAGGTTTGTTTCAAGAATGATATATTTTATGAAAAGTAAAGAATCATTCACACTTAATTTTATAGTCAAAACAAAGCGTGACTTTAAGGAATCCTGATCAACAGTTGATCTACTGGCTTGACATAGATTCAAATTTGATTGAAGCAAACGTCCCTTCCTATTAATGTGAACCAGACTAACAGCTGATAACTCTTGTTTTGTGAAGATACAAGAAGCACCAAAACAATCGTCAGCAACGTGAGCATCGGGAGGAGGACAATGTGTTCCCACGGAAACCAGTCACACACAAACGTGCCGCAGATCGGAAGAAAGGGCGGGAAGTGGATTATGATAAAGGTAGGAGTTACCTCCTAGCTCCTGCCCAACGTGTACCCACATTACATGTCCTGTTTTGAAAAAGCATATCTGGTCCACATCTGGTTTGATCAGCCACACATCAGTTACATCTCAACAGAATAAGTTAAAACTCTTAATTCTGCCTATTAGTTGTCCAAAATATGTCAAATATGAATCATTTATCAAAGTTATTATGTATCCTGTATTTAATATTATACCGATTCTGTGACTTTCTGTTCCCAGATGATGGTGGTGTATTCAAAGCAAAACAAACTAACCGCCAAACTTACGGGGCACGGGAGGTTGGAGAGACCCGGGATACACGGGTCGACCTCCCTATCGACCAGGTCCCTGCAGAAGAGGTCAAGGTCAGTATTGAGACACATTACCAGATGAATGTGTGACCAGTGTACCTCAGTTTGACATGATGTAATTCTGCTAGAAAAACTGCTGAAAAATCCTCCACATGGTCTAGCTAGTGATAGAGCTCTTCTGCGGTTTGAGACATCTAACATAGCATAGTCATATAATAAGGGCTGTAAAAGCCTCAGTGTTCTTACACCATCACGATAATCATGAGAGTCCAGGGGAACTTTTGACGTTTACTGAACTGAAGTTTTCAGGAGCCAATTGTGGTAGGACATTTTTACACACAGACCCTTCTCAAGTGGCAGTCCATGTAGCATATTTACATATTTATTGTATGTTCACGCTACCATTCATGCACTTAAACCACTGGGATGCACAGAAGTCATTAAGTGATATATACAGGGATGAGAATCCTCCACGGCATTCCACTGATTTCATTGTGTCAAGGGTCATACAGTTCCCAGATTCCCCGCTAACTTTTAGTGTCTTTGAAAAAAATCAATTCTCATCCCTGTTGTCATGATCACTTATTTAATACAATACCCGGCTAGACCTTCGTAGATATGTGCTTCATATCGCTGAGTTTTCGATGGATCCTATCAGCCATACAAGTAGACTAGCCTTGAGTATAACTTCTCAATCACTGGTAAGCACACATTACAAAATACGAATTAAGTCGTAGCCTAATCACCTTTTGTAAAGAAACATTAATGAAAGAGTAAACAAGAGTTTCCTAGGAGGATTGTTTAGTAGTGTTTACTAGATGTTTTAGCTTGCTTTCATCTGCATGCACAGATATTCTGCACAGTTTTCTTGATCATGTTGATGATTTAGTTAAATCTTCACATATTTCTAAATGATAATTTCTTTTGCACCAGTTTCTGTACAACTTTTCACAACTGTGTAGGTTGCGTGAGCTTTGATGCATTCTCTTTATCAAGTTGATAGACGTGACGGACTAATGGTGGTAGAGAATTCAATTTTTATAATTATGTATGATAGCAAATCAGGGTCTGTGTATTGATGTGCTCTCTACACCCAGGTGACTCAGCAGGGAATGCAAATTGGGTAGAAATGATGCATTACATTGAGTATTGACACAATATTTATATATCAGTGAAACTTTATAATGATACAAGGTTTGTTCTTGTTGGTGTACAGTCTATCCATATTGCCTCAGATCCCTTGAGGGATTCCGGGTACACATGCATTATACCGGACACTAATTCTGCCATGCTACTACTACTAATAAGCCGCACGTGACAGCATCGCTATTTGAAAAATAGGGCCATAAAGCTCAAAAGAAGCAGAAAAAATTACCCCGCTTGCATTTGTTATAGTATGGTTTAATATGATAAACCTTGAAATTGAATATCAAAGCAATGCATAAAGATCGAAAATTGGACATCAACATCGATAAAGTACTCTAAAATAGGAGCTCCTTCATGGTGTACGTCAACCTCATCAGTGACATCTGTCGGAGCCACATTTCAGCAAACACTTTGTATTTTGTATCTACTTTGAAAATTAAACATTTCATTTACTTACGAAAGCATTTGATTCAAGCCATTGTGGTGGGCAAACCCCCAAACGCCCTGATATTTAGGCGAGGCAACAAAAATGGCATTTGGAAAATTTAGAAACTGTTACTAAGGAATGAGCTCGTGCACATACCTTACCAAAATGGCAGATGGTGTCCGGTATACTGAGTTCTTGCCAGGATTGCGGTTTTGAATAGGTGCCCAGTTTGTGTAAAATAGAGTTTTATAAATGCAACTAACGAGAGTAGACTACTATATCCACCCTACTGAGTCACCTGTCAGATACTCTCATGCTCTGTAGTATTTGCTTTGCTCATATCTTGCTGCTTCTCTTCCAAACTGTATCTCTCAGGAAGAGGAGACCAGCTCGCATCCCCCCAACGATGACCACACCGCCCCTGTCCCTAGCGGTGTTGAACTTACAAAACTCCCATCAGATCAAATCACGGAAGAGGATGGAGAACAAGAGGTTCAGATATGCAATCTATCTGCATGTTAAGCATGCCCATGTTCATATCTCTCCTTATCGCCATGCATAAGTTTGCTGTCGTTGTTCATGATATAAAAAACTATATTAAAAAGCATGGTGTTATCAAAGGGGAGTAACTCCAGTTATACACACAGGATTACCTCCTTTAATCATCACACTAAGACTAGAAGTGATTAGTTAAGCTGTTGATATGTGTTGTCGTTGCTAGTGTTGATTGTTGCCGTGGTTCTGGTAAAATTTCACTGTGCTGAACTCATCATGTCATGACAGTCAAGTTCAAGGTCAAGTTCACACAGGCCTAGGAATAAATTTCTTTACTATAAAACTGACTACCCAAACAAATCAGTGTGCGAGCTTAGCCTCAATTTTGTAATTGATATCTTTTCCCGTAAAAACCAAGCCTCGTTCTCAAATGCGACCTACAAACAGTAAATACAATTTGCTAGCAGATGACATATTCACTCTCTAGTTTCTGTCAGCTGGATAAACAGGTTGCTACTAAAACAACTGTGTTTTTGTACTTTTATTAGTTTTCCATGTTACGAAATATATTCACTGAATATTCATGCTTTTCACCTGGGTGAAAAGGTTTATTCATTTCATGATGAGGACCATCTTGGATAAAATGATCCCAACTGTATGCATACCTGACAGGGACGACATGGGCTACCATAATGATACGATGTCTTAAATTTTTTCTCAAGAGGAATACCATCATTCCAGCTTTTGTTTCTATTTCCTTTCTGACTTTTTGGATGGCATAAATGCACACACATTCACAAGATGCAAAATTCTGCGAGCGTTTACAAGTTCTACATAATATTAATGCATACACAAGCCTTATTGGTAAAAATGTACTCTTGATATTTTCCACTTGAAAATTCATTGGTTTTAGAGGCGTCAGAATTCCAATATGTTCATACCTTTCTTGACAAATCTTCAGTGGTGTCAGTTGGAAGTCGCATCATGATAAATAGTTAGTAAGAAACTGGTATTCCAAGTTAGTGCCAAGAAAATAACATATGAAACACACAATTTAGCCATGATTGGGCATAAAAATGCAATAGCCAAGGTATAATCCAAAAGTAATCGTCCACCACAACAGAAACAGTAGTATACTGCTACAGCAGATGATGGGTTTGAGCCAATCATTTTACTGATAGAGGTCACGTGACTAAAATCTTGACTACTTCCGGTGCTGTGAAGGGTTACTTTTCCTAATTAAAACTAACAAACCAATACATATTTGAGATTTAAGTTCTGATTTATTTAAGCGCAAATGTCTGTTCAGTGTGATAACACTCACAAACTATGTCCAGACAGCTTAAGACAGAAAGAACCAAATGTCAAACACCACAACCTGTAAACCATCAGTTTAGACCCCTGACACAAATTAGACCCTCAATGACATATCAGTCAACACAAATTTAAACAAACGGTGTAAAACTGCCCTAAAGTAACATATCTGTCATTAGAATGTGATGCTATCAGTAAGGTGCCAGATTTATTTATGTTTCTGGCCGCTCTGTGTGGGACTTCTTGGTCACTTCGAGGGGGAAACTGGGGACTGTCTTTTATCCAATTAAAAACATGTTTACAGTTCTAGCTCCTCCTATTTTAAGTTGGATATAGGAAGCTTAGTGACCAGTGATTGCAGGAAACACAGGAATTGGCCCCTCCTCCCCTTAAGATAGATGGAACCCATATTTTTGTGAATGACTTCTACCCTGTGAGAGAATATTTTGAGGTCACGTGACTTCAATAAACATGTTCTCACAACTTCTACAGTGCATGGATTGGTTATATTTTGGTAGTATTTTGATAAATTGACACATGTGGAAATGGGAAATATATGAAAACATTACATGTTCAAATAGGATTTGTAATAAAAGGTTTATATGAGGTAGGTGTAGAGCCCAGGATTTTTCACTTCCTGTGACGGGTTGTGACGTCACTATGGGGATTTTAGCATTGAATCTATTTATAACCTGTGTGAAAGCGAGGCTTGGTTTTCATCTATAAGCAGTAACATAGGCTGAGCTCGCACACTGAATAGGAAATGGAATAAGACATATATTTTAAAGGTTATCATTAGATATAGATGAATTGATGTTACAGAATTAATTTATAACCTCAACTTGACACATTCAACCAAAACTTGATCTCTGCACAACCACAAAGACTTTGAGAATGCCATGTTGTACAATAATGCATTAATACTGGGTAAAACAATACTTTAATGTTTTGAAAATAGCACATACAAATGAACCCATCAATTCCTAATTTAAATACAAGCAGAACTTACTCTCACGTTATTTCAATTGCTACTAATCTTGTTGATCAAGAAGATTAGGGTAGAATGTAGCAAATGTATAATTAGGTATCTATTTTGTTTTGAGGACTTGCACTTTGACTTGAAATTGTGTATATTGTACACTAGTTCTTACAGATTAGAATATAATTATATTTTAAAAAAGATTTTAAAAGTTTGATTATAATGTTAACTGTTTATTTTTCAAGATGATTGACATGATTGATGCACCTTACTCTTGATGCTATTCTGACTCCAGTGTTGTCATAACGCATGTTCGGAGAATGGTTTTAATTGTTGTTTAGTATCAGTCGGGATCTGTCGTTGAGATATTGACCTTCACTTTTTCAGGATGAGCGTATCCGAGGAAAGCCAAACAGTCACAACAACCATAATAATAACAACCGGACTCCACCCAAACACACCAGCAAGGTAGGATACTCATGATGACATATTTATGATATTGTTTCCCAGTTTCCCCTGTCAGTGCCCGGGCACTGGTTCCAGATGGAACAGGGAAATCTTGCGTTGTGCTCCCTCCTCAGATTCATTGATACATGATTTCACTCAACATTTGGAGGTTAGCATATTTGGAAGATGGCCTTAACACTAAATATACTTGAGGTGGAGTTTCCTACTGTCCTCAATTTTTTGTGTAACTTTCAAAAACATTAATTTTCTAACATAATCCGTAGTGGTCATACAGCTAATACGAGATTGGCTGTGTATTTAGTGCCAGTATGTAAAGTGAAGGGCATTTAGAGGTCCTTGAGTAAACTGCCTGTAGTTATGCTGGCGGCATCAACAGGGACAGCTCATATTTATAGGAAATGAGTTCCTCTCTTAGAAGTAGTGAGAAGGTATTATGTTCTTCCTCTGCTAGCATTGTATGAGGCAGAGGAAGAGTGAAGTCATGAAATTGTTTGAACCATTCAACATCTTTTTGTATCGTAACAATTAACTAATCCTTCCTTTATATTGTAAAACTTTTGAAACAACGGAAGTTAGTTGTTGGATTATTATCTTGGACAATGTACATCTTGTACTTCTTTAAGTCGCTAGTCACAGTCACCAGCTTTAATAGTTAATGAAAATATTTTTGACATGTATTTTGTTGTTTATTTGATGCTATTTCAATTTTGAGTGATCACCTCTGCATGAGTGCCACGCATGCATTCCATGTCTTCAGCAAATGTTAATGTCTTGTCTCAAACTGCATGAAGGTTGAAGTTCACGTCTCCCATGTGGCTTGTCACACCACTGACATGGCCTGCTGTGTTTGTGTATGTCTTCCTGAACTTGTTAACAACACACCAGCAGCAGAGTACACCTAATTAGTGCTTAATTCACACTAACACTCTCAAGTAGACTAACTTGGCTCGTTCTGTGAGCCTGTGTATACTGGTAACTAACAATAATTAGCCCTGTTGTCATGGTGGAGGGGAGATAACTCTGTCTCGGTGCTGGGACCTTGATTCACCACATGGTATCAGAACAAAAATGAAATCAATTTGAAATATATTTGGATAAAATGTTATAACTTAGTCTAGGTGTTGAGATGAAATCTTTTTTGTTAAGCAAAATATTTTGCAATGTAAAGATGGTTTTCATTCAATTACGTTGATCTACCTATATTAACATTTGGAATCAGTTAGTAAATACATGAATTTTGAAGTGCATCTCTTCCCCAACACATTGACGAGTAGCAGCAGGTGAAGCTAGCTAATTAGTTCACTCTAGAATGACACCATGTGCAAACAGTTTAGATTGTACATTTCACGTGAGCAGAGCTTGTGGGCAGAGCATGTCCTTGTGTTATGTTCTGGTGGTATGCAGTTTGCACTAATTTCTTTGATCGCACTACACCTTGTCTTGTCTTTCATATTAATCCCAGGAAAATTATGCAGTCAAGGAATTGGAACTTAATCAGATTTGTTGAGGTCGATAGCAGAGGTTCATTTTCAATGAGCCTAATTTGAAAAATACGATGTTGGCCATGACTCAACTGATCTGTAGAGCAGTAGAACTGGCTGATGGTTTTGCATCATCCTTCTCCTGTCTTTCCCATTTTCTCAGTGCATTTATAGCTTAAATCTGCTAGTGCAGGATTGAACTTCTGTATAGGCCAGATATTTGATATTTCAGTAGATTTGAGAAGCGTTGGGACAGTCGAGTGAGTGCCAACTGAAGACCTGGGTTCAAATTCCCACCATTTGAATCCATTCCCAGTGTGCCCATCTGGAATGTTGCTAAAAGTGGCAATAAATCGATTCCATCATATATTTAAATGCAAAGTCCTGGCTGCTTCTGATGTCTTGAGATATGGCCTGAGATATATCAACTGTCCATTGTTTGGTCATATAACCCCCCCCCCCCCCCCCCCCAATTTGCCATGCCAAGATCTGCTGCTGATGTCAGTCCTGTCAGACAGCCCTATTTTCATGTTCCTCGGCTTCCTACGACTACTGTCTCTTCAGGCCTCCCACCCACAGCATGCCCTGGTACACTGAAATACTGTTCACAGCGGCATTATACACAACTCACTTACTGTTACAGTAGCAAAGCTCCCTCAACTTCTTGTGACAAATAATGTTCACTTAACTCCCAAATTTGTTGGAAATATAATTAAACGCACAGAGGAATAGCAGAGCGTCAGTGAATAGACACATCGGCACCTGTTGAGTCACCCTTCCTGACGAGGACGTCTACAATGTCTACATTTTATGAATTTTGACATGTTTGTTTTGATGACAAGCACACAACATTCAAGGAGGACCGAGTGTGATATTGTTCTAACCTGTTTCAGTTATATTTCAGGAAAAGAGACCTGGGGATCACTTGATTAATGTATCTTTATTCTTCTACCAACCAGTTGTCAGCTTCCTCATCAGTCATAACTTAACTGTTAGTCCTAAGTCATGTAGGTTTAGATATCTGACTACTCACACCCTTATTAGTAGTGCAGTACTTAGTAATGTTGACAAAAATGGCTCTCTAGCAAGATATAGCATATGTTAGGTTGTCAGATTTGAAAAAAGAATACTGAGCCTTAAATAAAAACTAGTTTGTTCTCTAGTATGCTGTTGTGCCTATGAATCAACATTGTTTAGTTTCCCAAATGTTTGCTAGCTCCTGAGAATAAAGACTTAATTGTTCCCCCAATATGCTGTAGTCCCTCTGAGCTAAGACTAAGCTTTTCCCCCAATAGGTTGTAGTGTCTGTGAACCAAGACTAAGCTGTTCCTCCAATATGCTGTAGTGTCTGTGAACCAAGACTAAGCTGTTCCCCCAATATGCTGTAATGTCTGTGAACCAAGACTAAGCTGATCCCCCAATATGCTGTAGTGTCTGTGAACCAAGACTAAGCTGTTCCCCCAATATGCTGTAGTCTCTCTGAACCAAGACTAAGCTGTTCCCGCAATATGCTGTAGTGTCTGTGAACTAAGACTAAGCTGTTCCCCCAATATGCTGTAGTGTCTGTGAACCAAGACTAAGCTTTTTCCCCAATATGCTGTAGTGTCTGTGAACCAAGACTAAGCTGTTCCCTCAATATGCTGTAGTGTCTGTGAACCAAGACTAAGCTGTTCCCCCAATATGCTGTAGTGTCTGTGAACCAAGATAAGCTGTTCTCCAATATGCTGTAGTGCCAGTGTATCAAGACTAAATTGATGCCCAATAAGCTGCAGATGCAGTTCTGAGAGCTTTTAGTGATTAGAGTTTCTACCAGAACAAGCACTATGTTAATCAAGGTCAACAAAGGTTGTCTTTAACAACGAGTAGCATATAGCCATGGCTCCCTGTTCACCAGCCGTTGTACAGTTAGTCATGTCCTTCTTACAGACCTAATGTCAGACTTACTATCTATCTTCCTTTCACTATTACATACAACAATCTTTCCAAGATACCTATTAACTAGTAATATAAAATTTGCTTAAGCTATTGCTGAACTATGCAACCTAACAATTTCTACAGTGTCAATTTCATGTATAAATGTCACATATGATTGACATGACCCCTATATTGTAATGAGACATCTGGAGTGATGGTAATGGCTAATTCAAAACTTGAATCATATACATTATTTTTCTTTTCTTTCATTAATCCCAGTCCTAACACAGTCACCATTATTTTCTATATCATCATCAGACCATGCATTTCATTTCTTGCATGTGCATGTAATCTTTTAACAATAACAGCTTTTAATATGTATATATGCTTTTCATTGGTTCTACAGCTAGTTTTACACCGAAGCAATGTCTATCACAGGTCTCTATTGTAATTTGTGATCGGTCAACTGCAAGTGTCATACTTACAAAGGTGTACCTTTACCTTTGGGTGAACAATTTCAATTTATTTTTTATGAAATAAAAGAAAGAAAATGTAGTTATTTGCCCTATTGATTGTTCAGTATGCTATCTCAGTATTTATCACAGAATGAAATTTGTCTGGACGATTTTGAGTGTTACCGTTTCAGAACAATTGCCAATCTCTTCGCAAATGCTTCAAGGGTTGGAAATAGAATGTAATGCATCAAGGAAATGTGTTTTTATGCATCAGACATCTGATCTCCGCAACAATTAAAATCACAAATGTGTTATCAGTTTTATAAGAATATCTTTATATACCGATGAAAGCTTTTGAAGGTTATACAATAAAAACACAACAGGCACCTAACCCATTTTGAAGAATAGCTGTTTTATTCTTAGTTTGTTTACACGCAAATGCCCCCCAAATATGCAGGCCAGTCTGTCCATATGCACATAATGCTCTGGATAACAAACAAGTTCTTCCTCCCATCTTACGTGACTTGATATACCTGATCACACTGCCGAAAACAGATGGTTTTGGGGGTTGTTTTTTTTGCCTTATGGAGGATGTTTTGGGTTATTCATGGTAAAGAGTAATGTGTTAGGAAGGGTGTGTCCAGAAACTCCTGTATGTATCGTGGTAGTCATCAAACATTGTACATGATTGTATATTACAGTGTACTTGATATATTTTGTGCTGATGTCTGTATTGAAATAACATGTTTATTTACGTGTGTCATTGTCACAATGTGAAATTCAAGCAATTCTTTGCAATAAAGAAGTAAAACCCATGGTCCTCATTTGTTGTTTTTTGAGAAGTAAGAGATTAGGCAATAAGAGTGTATACTTTTTATGCATATAAATTCATTCTGATGAACATGATACAGAGCATCAAGTACACAATGCAGTGACTGTTAAGATAAATACAGCAATGACCTGCACAGTGTTGTACAGGCATTTAGCATTTAATAAAGGTGTCTTGATACTCATTTGTGTTTAGGCCTGACTAGTTTGTCTTCTGGTTTCGCAGATTTTATGATTTTTAATGTTATAAAATGTCTGTTGGTTTGGGGTTAATTTCTTTTTAAAATTAAAATAAATTTTATACAAAGAACAAAACAAAAAA